GAAGAAAACTATAAAATTTAATACTACTCAAAAGAAAGGAAAAATATTCCTTATTGTTTATCTTAATCTTTTTTAATAAAAAAAATCATATTTGTATTGTTCTGTTCGACTAATCGAAAGTCTAAATAGATTAAATATTAGCTGGATTTTGCAATCTAAGTAAGCAAATGAACATTAAAAAGTATTCGTCAATAAATAACGAAATTTTCTTTGAATATTTTATCAATTTTAAGAAATATGCGTTTTCAATTTAAAAACAAATATCTTTTAAATAAATAAGTAAATTTTTAATTTTTATTGTAAACTATTGACCTGAAGTCTTTGGTTTCATAGTAATATGAATAAAATGTTCGAATTTAAAATCAAGCAAAATAATAGTCTTCGATCTGATTTTATTATGTCTATTCCTTTTCCAGTCTTGAATTTATTTCCAGTTAAAGCATTTTTCTTGGTTTCACGAATTATGCGAAGCTGTAAAAAGTGAAAAAACAAAGAATGTATAAGTTATCTTAGTATTAAAAATAAATATTAATACATATAAATACTAATCCTTATAATAAAATAACTGAAATTAAAGTAATCCTTATAATAAAATAACTGAAATTTCACTTGAGAATATTTTACGTTTTTTGTTTCCTTTCTTTATAAATTGTAACCTATGAAAAAAGGATTAAAAGGTTTGGTTTATTTAATTACGGCAAAGCACACTAGGGCCATTTGCTTAAGGGAAGGGGATGCCTTCGTGGAGGACTTTCTAAGGGAAACTGGCTCGTATACACGTTACACCTGTGGAAAACCACGAAAACGCCCATGCAGCCAGCCCGTTCGCGGTATTCGAACCTCGGACCGAACTACAAGTGTTCAGCGACTTTACCGCTCGGGGGTATGATTAAAAGGAGAATGATTATTAACATAATGATTTATATTATTTCTCTTAAAGTCTCAAAGATTTAACAAAAAATATTAAGAGTATTTTCAGGAATTTGTTAATTGCTTCAGTGGGAGATTATTAAAGTATTATATTATTCAAAATAATTATATTATTTAAATTTGTAGGAATTTTGGATTACTACGTGATCACGCTTTTGAAAAAGTATTCAATTTCTCAACAATATTTGCATTGCATCTGCTTTTAAAACTGTGTATAAACCATTTTTTAATTCCTTTGAAAGTCACAGACATTGTATGTCTAGTGTCAGAGTTATTTATCATCATTATGCAATAATATTTCCTAATGAAAATTAAGAAGAAATTCTTCTCAAACACCAAATGAATTTTTAAAAAAATCAATTCCATTCAAAAATAAGGAAAACTCATTTATTTTATTATAAAAAAAAATTGAAATTTTGGGTATGTCTAGGATTCATGCAAAAAAGTTTTCATCGCTTCTATTAAAAAAAATTATAATCATTATGTATGAGAGATTACTCATTTTAATGAACTTAAATCTTATGCCGTTCATCACATAGTGGTTGGAAATCTTCATCTTATTTAAATTAATTGATGACAGAGTATACTAATATCAATACATTTTTAGTTTTATTATGTTTCGGAATTAAAAAAACTTGACCTACTTCAACCTCTTCACTTAAATAAACATATGAAGGTATTCCTTTCTGTGCAAAGATTTTATGTAATGAGCAAGACAGAAGACGAAAGAAGCCAATAATTAGCAACAGGAATTGTTGTAATGTAAGTGTACATTTGCAATATTATACTTTCGATGGTCAAACAGAATCTTCTTTAGTTGTGAATAAGATAATGAGAAGGAAGGAAACATATTCACAAAAAAAATTTTTATAATATTTGTGTAAGAAACGAAGTTCATTTCAAATCTTATTCTGCTGGGCAAACAATTAGCTTCATCTTATTTTTTAATTTCTCCGTGCACTAACAGTTTGCCCTTCAAAGTTCTGGTTCAGGAACTCATTTATAAGGGCTAATTGAAACCCTTCGAAATTGCATCTGTTTCTCTTTTTCGAAATTAGATGTGGCAGCCCTGTGGTGGGTTTTGCAAAGGTTTTCAATGTGTTTTAACATGCAGTTTGATAGCCATGGTCTTCGGGATTTGATTACAGGGATCGGAAATATCTAATACGTTCTGTAGCGGCGGGTGAGGAATATGTCTTTATGACTGGGTATGGAAGAGATGTGGTTGAAATTTGTATTAGACTAAGGAAAAGCCATAACGAAACACTTAAAATATTACCATGGTGATAAAGCACTTGGCCGTGCTTTAGTATCTCAGTGATGGAGGTAAAGGCGGTAACACGCGAGTTGATTCGACAAAGCACGTCTGACAGGTTGTCAGCTGCTATTACGGATATATCAATACTGCGCACCCACGGACAGACGTTGAACAGTGACTATTGTATAAACGACTTGCAAATCACTAGCTTGGAGCTATGAAGAAGAAAGACTGTATTTTCCCAATAAACAGTGGTTTCTCTTCTGGACAAAGCCGAATGCATGTTGCTGCTGTGGCATTTGCTGCTCTGTCTGACATTAATCTGCCAACACCATAACGTCAGCATTGATGTCACAAAACAATCTATTTCATGTTTTTGATAGCTTATTAAATGCTGCTAAAATTATAATTCAATGTAAAGAACTCAAATTTGAAAAAGAAAAAAATTCATGCAAGTAGAGTGATCTAATTTTGAATAAGACCAAAGCTTTTCACTCAAGTCATTTAACAGAGATTATAATTGATTGGAGTTTATTTTCATTATTACTGACCGAATGGTAAAAAAATTTTACTCCTTTCTTTTGCTTTGACCCTCATAAGAATTTTATAGTCATATCTTTCTTTCAATCAATTAATTATAAAATTACATTTATTTCACATAGGTTTAATCTTCGCGTTATTTTTCTTCTGCTAATAAAATTCTTATATCAGTACATAAAGCTGCTGTTCTATATGGGAATTTTATTTCACTTTGTGGTTAAAAGACTGCTTTCGAGCATAAGCTAGAAAATTCTCAAAATTTCTTTTCTGTTCTTTCGTAAGCATATGATTTTTATCTTCTCATTTTCTCTTACGCAGCTAAAAGTGAAATTTCTATTTTATCTTCGAAGTTATAGTACAGCAAATTTATGTGCATTATGACAGTTTCTGTTGTTAGTTATAGCTGTACTACCTTGTATTTTGAGAAAGATTAGTTTGAGGGCTGTATGATTACTTGTATAATCACATTTATTACCGAAATCCTGTTGCTTTACAAAATTTATTGCTCGAAAGAATTAACATCTCTTGAAAGCAGAAGAAAACAGCTATTATCACAAAACAGTAATAGATTGGGGCAATCAACTGCAGGAAGTTTGCATTCAAAGCGTCCTATACAGAGCTTTAGGTAAATTCTGAGGGCCTAACAAAATAATAGAAATCGGCGAAATCCTTTTTACGAAACGTGTCGAATGCTTCCGTAGCAGTGGCTGTTTGGCGGATTGTTCAGAGAAACTGACTATGTTTTATTTAAGAGCTGCACACAGAAGTGCGTCTCAGAATTCCGCAGCAACAATTAGAGCAAGGTGGTAGGCATCTCCGTCACCTTGTTGCAATCTTTCGCTTCCAATACTTATTTGAATTGCTTTCAATAATTATTTGAAGGTAGCGAGCTCATAGTCTGAAGCTAGTCAATTTGAATTTCTAGATAGTTTTGTACACATAATATTTAGTGCATTTTTATGAAGAATATTAATCACTTCACAATCCTACAAAATTCAAATATTTGCTCTTTTAACGCCCTTCAAAGATAAAATTTCTGTAAGACCTATTTAGAAAACCGCCTGTTTGTTACACTCAGTTATACTGAATATTGTCTGCGTTCCCAGGAGAAATACTCTTTAGTATTCTTTAGTCTTTTACCTGAAAATTAACAAAGGCGATCCCTTAAAGGCACGCTTTCAAATCAGTAGTTCAAAACCACTGGAATGCAGTTAAAAGGAGGCCGTGAGTGAATTTCTATTTCCCGTCTTTTTAAGTGAAATTTCTTTTGCGTTATCATTGTACAACTTTGCTGTGTAGAAAGTGTCACCAATTGAGCCATCAGTCACCTCTTTTCAGTTTCGCTGCATTCTGCGGGTTGGAAAACAAAACGAAGAGTGTTTCTTGGAGGTAACGATCCAAGCCACATTTAACCCCGACGAGTGTGTGCCGTTACTGATGCCTGAAGACACTTTTCAAATCGATGAGCCTATTTCGGAGAAACGGTCACGTGATTAATAAAGATAGAGGTAGATTAATTCTTTTCCATCTTTACGGCAATCCGATTTAACCTGCTAGTTTATGACACTATGTTTACCATTACAAACTAAATCTCCACAGTTTAGTAAGTACTTCGTCCTCTTCGTCCGCAGTCAAGGTACATTTTAACTTTTTGTTTCATTTTTCAGCTGTACAGTTAGTGAAAAAGTGTTCTGAGGGTAGGTTATATAGACCAAAGTATGAAGATAGTCCCAGATTTCAGGAAAAATATTGATATTTTAGTATATAAAAACTTGAATTATACATTAAATTTTTGAAGTTACCGACCTTGAAAGCATGCATGCGGGGTCAAAATTTCGCCTTTTTTTTTTTCATGAGGTACATATTATGCTGTAACCAAAGTTACTATACTACAAGATTTGCTATTCCCTTCCTCGTGGGTGTAATATCGGTCATCGGCTGCAGTGCATGCTAGGCAAAGCTCTTGCAGATAAGATGAAAACATTTTCTAGGACTCGATTATTTCTGACTAATAGTAGAAGCAAAGTAGGGAGCAGTCATTAAAAGAAACACAGGATTAAATTTGATTTCAATCAGTTTTGACGAAGCTTCAAACTAACAAATTGAAGGGAATATTTAAAAAGGAAATTGAGTTTATTTATTCCTTATTGCATGTCATATTATTAGAGTTCATTGTTTTTTGCAAATATTATTTACCAGTAAAATATTCTAATAGTTTTTCTTTTTTTTTCCTTAGTTTCAATAGACCTGTTACCGAAGTTCTGAAGAAAAGATGTCTGAGTCGTCGCCGCCAGAAATTCTGGCGACAAAGAAGGATGATCCCACAAAGGAAGCTACTGTTGAAGAAACAGAGAAAATAGACAATGCTATATCTAATATCGTATCCTCACTTGCGAAAAATGGAAGTCCTTCCGCGAGCGAAAAAGACAAAAAGAAAAGCCCTTGGACAGCAGGAGCATGTGATGACGGTTATAGCTCTTATACGAGTACTCCTAAGTCATTGGGTAAGCAATAAATAAGTTACTATTTTCACAACTGAAAACAAACACAATTAGTAATAAATCCTCACAAGTATAAAATGAAAATATTCAATGCAACTTATTTTCAGAAAGTCTTTTAAAAGGTGCGCAAAATACTATACCTTTCAAGTAGCATTTGATTAAAAAAAATAAAGTAAATAGTCGAACAAAACATTTTATTCATGTCTGTCTCGAGGTTGTAAATACGCTGTAGATATACCGAAAACGAAATATTCCCACCAAGAAATAAAGGGGAAACCCTTTATTCCTTTTCTTATACTAACATCCAGAATATGTGTTACGATTGCTCATATGAAAAATATCTTACTGCGTAAGTTATATTAAAGTAATTTAAACATATCTTTATTCAGACATTTCGTAAACGCAGTTGCATGACGGCTGGAATAGTTAACTATAAATTCACATTTAAATTGCGCTTTTCACAGCATTGTAAAAGACTTCTGTGCATATCAACGAAAGAGATGAAAAGTACACACATCAGTATACATCATTTAAGGTTAGGTTATTCAATGATGGCAAAGCATACGATGGCTCTCTGCCTAAAGAGAGGATTGTGTTCGTGTAAGACTTTCTATAGGAAGCTGACTAGTGTTCACATTACATATGAGAAAAACCACGTAAACCAACCATGTCAGCCCGTTCAGTTGGGTTTGAACCCGTTTTGAACTGCCAATACTTAGTAGTCTTAAACACTCGGGCAGTGGTAAGGCCGTCTAGATCACTTAACAGCATTCAAATAATTATTATCGAAACTTTAGAGAATTATAATATAAATATATTTTAACAGTGAAACAATATAAATAACAGTATGTTTTAACCAACGCATCAAAATGAAACAAAGGTCAAATTTACATACTTTTTGTTTGTTTTTTTGTGTACAACTAATGTGCGTATTAAATTACCATCTTGCAGAGGATTCATCTGAAATGGGCATAACATATCATCATATGTAGTGCAATTAATATTATTGCTAAAATATGTATACGTCATTATAAAATGTTGAATTTGTTATAAAATAAAGTATTTAAAAAACCAGTGTATAGAATGTTATTTCTTACAATTTTTTAAAGCCAATTTTTACGGAAAATAAAACATGGCAATTTTTTATCCCGAATAGTAGTTGCAGTATTTGTGCAACAATCTCTAAAATAGTTATATAAAAAAGATTACTTTCCGTTATAATAAAGTCATTATTTTTGTTCTCTTCAGTTCTAAGACACCTTATATTTTCTTTCATTTCTTAAATCATTTGACATCTTTTTGTGCATTCCTTTTTCCCTCTTTACATATCAACAAGAATCACACAAGTACAGATTAGCCTTCTGCTTCATCTTCTTCTGTGATAAATTCCCCTGCCTCATTTGTTCTACCACCAAATGGGTGCCCTGTAGCGGCACGCAATAAAAGCACCACACATTTGTATTTCCGATGGATGCGAGCGAATTTCTTCCACAAAGACATCCCTTCCCTTGTGCTTTGTCGTAATCAAACAAACCAGGTTAAACCAAATCAAACCACTGATAGTTCTACCTAGCTTTAAAAAAAAAAAAAAAAAAAAAAGAGGGAGGGTCTTTCTGCATACAAATTTCTCTATTTATTTCCATGTTTAACGTAAATACAACCAGTTTCCCTTAAAAAGATATCCTTCCATTTAGGCAGAGAGATATCGTAAGCCGCCTGTCGGCAGAGAGCCGCTTTGTCGCAATCCAAATAATAATCCATCTCCAAATGAAACAAATCGGCTCACAGAAGCTTTAAATGAAAGAAAGTTGGAAGTCTTGGATGAAGCTCTGTTGGCAGTATTTTCCTTCTCATCTGGTATGCTTTTCTTTCTTTTCCTTTTCGGTTTTATTTCTCCGCTTTCATACCTTCTTTTTTCGTTTTAATTAAAATTTTTAATTAAAAATTAAATTAAAATTTTCGTTTTAATTCGTTTTAATTAAAGTCTTCTCTCTTTTTCTGAAGCTTTATTATTTTGATTACCTCCTTTCTTTTTATAAATCTAGCATTTTTTGATGAAACGTCTCAATCGTAGGAAGTTACTTTCTCTTTTTCTTTACCTTGTCACTTCTCAACTCTGATGCTTTTCAGACGAGATGGTATAGTTTGCCGATTTACTAACGATGACAGTACCCAATGTTACTAGATGCACTGAGTTCCCAACAGAATGAAATTGGCGTTTTTAACTACTGAGATCTGCTTCAACAAATTCAGTAGCAACCTCCTTATCCTGTTGCTCAACAGGTTCTGTTGACTCTTCACTGCAAAACTGTAGACTAAGAACAAATTTAAAAACCTGAATTTACTGAACTATATCTGCATAATTTTAAGCCTAACTAATGATAACCAATTTTAAAAGTTGACGGTATAATAAATAAGTACCTATACTCTTAACATTAATTAATAAATAAAATATAAACGAATGACACTCGCTCAAGAATAAAAGCATGAAAATTAGAATCCTACATATATTTATTCATTTATTATTTTATATTTTCGTTTTGTGAATCGAACATCTGAAGACTCTGTAAATAGTATTTTGAAATTCCGGAAAATCACTAAATAGCTCTATATCAGCTTATGCAAGCAGTTTTGCGTATATAGGAAAACTCGCCGATTCCTAAAATACAAGATAAGCGAAAAGATTCGATAAGGTGAACAAAAAAGAAAGTAAAACGTTCTTCGATATGTTCCCATTCTTGTATTAAAAAACAGAGATCTCACTTTTAGAAAGTTAAAATTATTTCGTGTAGTTTATTACGGCAAAGCAGACTAGGGCTATCTGCCTAGAAGGAAGGAATGCTTTCTCCGAGGACTTTCTAAGCGAAATTGGCTTGTATACACGTTACATATGGGGAAAACAACGAAAACGCTCATGCAGCCAGCCTGTTCGCCTGGATACGAACCCAGGCTTTAAATATCAGTGTTCAGAGATCACTCGGCCGCTGCTTGGCCGTTAAAATTATTACTTAATTATTATTAAAATTATTAAAATCGCCTTACTTCTCTTCTCAGTTTGGATTTCTTAGCTTTTTCAGCGTAGCAGTGTCGTTTTCCACTCCATTCCTGTCAGAGGAGTGGAAAAAAATCCTCTTTTGAGTCTCGTATCTCTTCTTTTGACTAAGCACTTCAAATTCCAGTTCAAGTTCTATACTTCTAAGGTATTCACCACCATAACAACGATGCTTTGATGATATTGGAGTAAGTTCCAACGAAGCTGCAGTCAGAGATGAAAACTTTCACTTATTACTTTATTCATAATCATTACACGAAACGTTAACTGCGTAACGAGTTGAATGGCTCATTTTTTTTTTTTTTTTTTTTTTTTTTTTTTTTTTTCATTTTCCGTTTGATGACATTTTTTTAGCTTAATTTCTAAAATTCTAATTTCTTCTCTGTCTATTTGTAATATACTGTAAAACTAATATTTTACGAAGGCTGACAACTAGTCAGGAAGGCAAAGTTAAAATAAACAAAGGCAAAGTTTAAAAGCGGTAACTCGGGTTTTCTAACATTTCATGTTTATAATTAAAACAAAGTTAAAGAAGCTTGAATAGCAACAGTAGGTTTTTCTGATTGAAATCAATCACACTGCAACTTTGCCTTGCATCTGTACAGACTTTAAGAAATCCAATTATTTTCAGGTCTAAAGAAAATTAAATGAAACTTCCAGCTTCTTCCAGCAACAAAAGTCATTCTTTCTGAATACTAACTTTAATCATTAGCACACAAGTAATGACACATTTAAATAACAGTAGACTTAAGCTTTCTACAAACGATAAAGTTATTCTGCTAGAGGAAGACAAGGAAAAAAAAAGGTAGGATCACCATGCGGTCGAGCGGTAAAGTTTCTCAGCGCTGGGCATTTTGGCACAGCTTCGAATTCTGGCGAACAAGCTGGCTGCATAGTTGTCATGGTTTTCCCAGTGTATAACATGTATACGAGTCAGTTTGCCGTAGAAAGCTCTCCGCAAAGCCATTCTTTACCTAAGGCAGAGAGCCCTCGAGTGCTTTGCTGTAATCAACGGAACAAAAATACTAAGCTTTAGTTAACCAAACTAAAGACCAAAAGTTAAAGACCAAAGTTTAAAGTTAGAAAGACCAAAGTTTTTTCAATAAAATTACTTTTGTGAATATCCATAGCTTTTTCTGAGCAACGGAACGTATTTCTAAATTTCACGTATACTTATATGGATCAGTTGTTATGTTGAAATGCCTTGTTCAAACTAATATCAGATATTTTCTTTTTGTAATGATAATAAAACCTTCTAGACCACTTTTCTTTTTTCCACTTTCCTTGCAACAAAGTATAATTATTTCATGAATCAAGTCAATATAATTTGAGAGGTGCTGTTTTAGTTCTCAACGTATTTCCTTTACCGTAAAAACTATTCTATTTCTTTTCTTTCTTTTTCATTTCCAATTATGTTTCATCCCTCAGCGCATTCCTGAGCGCAGTTTGCTAATCGTACGCGTCCTTGGGCTCGAAAAGCATTCATGGTGGATGACTCGATTTGGAGATGGATACTAGCTGTGGAACTTATTGAAGCGAACCGTATCAGTGGAATAAAAATTCAAATGTTAACCACCACCAAAGGTTTATGCACGTTTTCGTTTCGTCTTTTTTTATTACTTTGCGTTCCGTGCTGTTGCTAAAACTCTTAAACTCCCGAGCATAACATTTCTACGATTAAAAATTATCCCTTGATTCGCATTATTGACGAGTCGTTTCACAGAATTCAGCTTTCTGAGTCGAAAAGTGGGAGGGTAAAAAAATTTTGGTATTAAGATATCGAAAGTTTGTCACTAGTTTTGTTGCTATTCAAGGAAGAAAGGTATTCGAAATTCACATTAAAAGATTTTTGAAGAACTAGATGGTTATCGCTGTTTTAAAAAAAAATATGCTACAAGTACCATAATCTCGGTTGTAGAAGTAAATCATTGTGTAGATCTAATCTTTTTAG